AGTCAACTTGCATATTACCTCTTTATTATATAGATGCTGATTGATCTCAGCTTCATCTACTCTTCTGTTGATACCCTGTAAATGTTCTTTATTTAAGTTCATGTACTCTTCATTTCTGACTGGCCCTTTTTCACACCATTGAGGTTCTCACTACATTCATTGGACATCTTTATAACCCACTGGAGGCCTGATGCATGAAATTCATGCAAGCATGAAATTCATGCAAGCATAGGCACTCACAGCCCCAGCTGCCTCGGCCCTCGCGGGCCCGGATGCTGCCACCCTCTGCAGGGTGATTGATCATGGAGCCCCCTGCCCCCATCAATAGCCCTGCAAAGGGTGGTGGCAGCCCCGTGGCCACGCCCCCCGCCCACTGGTCATTACGGGAGGTCATTCTGGAAGGTCGTTTCGCCGCCCGGTCTATTAGTATATTAGCTCTTTATTATATAGGATGTTATGAACTCTGCATCTGGTAGATTACCTGTCTCCATTTTGTTTTTCTGGAGTTCTATTCTTTCATTTGGGACATATTTCTTTGTCTTCTCATTTTGGCATCCATCCTGTGTTTGTTTCTATGGATTAGGTAGAGCTGCTATGTCTCCTGGGCTTGGTAGAGTGGCCTATAGTAGTAGTTGTTCTATAGGGTCCAGTGGCATAGCCTCCCTTATCACCCCAGCTGGGCACTTGAGTGTGCCCCCCGTGTGGGCTGTGTACCCCTTCTCTTATAGTTGAGCCTTGATTGTTGTTGGCATGTCAGTGGGAGGAATTTACCGTGAGGCTCATCAGCTGCAAGGACTGGCTACAACCACTTACCACCAACTTCCAACCATTGGATTGGATCAGCTGTGCAAGGGTCCACCCCACAGAACAGGACTTACTTCAATGGGGCTCTGGTGCCTACTCAGTCTGCCACCTGAGTGTATTGTTTATGGAGGTGGTTGGGTGGTGGTGCTTTGACATGGTCTGAAGCTGTCTACTGGGTGCATTGGCTCTGGGGCCTCCCTGGAGGTGCAGGCCAAGTTCAGTCACTGCTTGTGACTCACCTGGCATGAGCTACAAACAATATGCAGATGGCTGCTACTTGTGCTGGGCTTGGAGGTGCCCAGAAGAGGCCAAGCTGTGAACCAAGGCCAGCTGCTGCTAGTGTCGAGCCTGGGCCACTTAGTGAAAGGGATGGGGCATGGTCAGGCCAAATGCTGCTTGTTTGAGAGATTTTAGAAAAATCTAAAGCGTGAGCCAAGACAGGCCATTTGTATGGAAAAGCCACTGGAAACAGCTTGGATGGGCCTGAAAGTTGGGTGTGGTGGGGTCTCAGGAAATCACCAGGACAGGGCTAACAGTGTGAGCCAGGTTGATGGGGTCTCAGATATGACACCCACCTCCAGCTCTTTGGGAGAGGGCTCAGCAAAGGAACAATGGCCTCTGCCAGCACTTGTGTCTGGAAGAAACCTGGCCCCCCAGCTCTCACCCTGATACAGGACAATTCAGTTCCTCCTTGTATGGCTCTGGTGCCTTTCAAGCTGCTGCCCCTGTGCTGTAGCTAGAGGGAGTGAGTCTGAGTAAAGATCATGTGTGGCCCTTTAAGAGAAATGCCTGGGACTTTAGCAGCCTCCATCTCCTTCAGCGTCAGTCTCCTCTGTTTTTTTACAGCCAGAAGTTATGAGGAGCCTGGTGTGGGGCTGGTATCCCTTTCTCCTTAGGGGGAACTCCCCAGCCGAGATATCCATCCCAATTTTTATCTGCCACACAAGGCTGTGGGAGCAGCCTGTTCCTTGTCTCCATCCCTCCTACCAGTCTCAATGTGGCCTCTTCACCTTTAATTTCCTAGTTGTAGGACTTCCATTTGGCTAGATTTCAGGGGTTCTGAATCATGGTTGTAACTTTGACATGGTTGTGGGAGGTAACACATTTACCTATGCTGCCATCTTGACCTTCAGAAGTTGTAGCAACACAATTTTGGAAGATGGACAAGTGATAGCTGATTTTGTAGCAGGAGGGGGTAAAGCCTGCAACATGACTGCCTGTGGAAGAGAGGGACAGAGAAACTAAGAAGTAAGCCATGTGACACTACAGAACCCTTGAAAAGATCAGGAATTAAAAGTGGGGAGAGTCTGCCAAGTGATAGTGACCCAGAGACTTGGTCACTGGGTGGAGCTCTGATCCCAACCTGCCACTCTCAAAACAGAACATGCCATCATTGCCACTGGAAACAGTGCAATTAGAGAAATATTATTGATTTTTATTTGATCTTAGAGAGGAAGGGGGGTGGGGGGAGAGAGAGACAGAGAGAAACATCAATTTGCTATTTCACTTATCTATTCATTCATCTGTTGATTCTTGTATGTGATCAGACTGGAGATTGAACCCACAATCTTGGCGTATCGGGATGACACTCTAACCAACTGAGCTACCCAACCAGGGCAATATTATTTATTTAAAAAGTAAAATATTGAGCCCTAGCTGGTTTGGCTCAGTGGATAGAGCATTAGTCTGCGGACTGAAGGGTCCTGGGTTCGATTCTGGTCAAGGGCACATGCCCGTGTTGTGGGCTCGATCCCCAGTAGGGCGTGTGCAGGAGGCAACCGATCAATGATTCTCATCACTGATGTTTCTATCTCTCTATACTTCTCCCTTCCTCTCTGAAATCAAGAAAAAATACATTTAAAATAAATAAAAATAAAAGATTGGAAGCAAATAAAGTGGAATGTTAAGATTCAATAGTATGGTAGGTCCATGTTTTCTCAACTGTGTGATTTAAAGATCTCATTAAGAAATCTACTTGAAAGAATGAAACACATTAAACATTCACTCAGTCAAGCTTATTGAATTTATTGTGTGCTCAGCACTGTTCTAGGCTGTAACATGAGAAAAATTATAAAAGATAACAAGGGAAAAATATACTCCGCACTATATTGATTTGCAGGCATTTCCATGTTGCTTTGTAAAGTGTTCCTAGGTTGTTTTGGGGTATGTGGTCTCCTCCTCCATGTCCCCCGAAAGCTTCCAGCACTGTTGAAGTATGTGCCACAATGGACGTCCCCTGAAGAACAGGGGGTGGGACAGGAAGGGTGGCCTCCTGCTGATGGGTCAGAACTGAGGTCTCCTAAAGGGGAGACATGTTGAGGGAAACTACCAACCCTGAGGGCTCAGGGTCCTCAGTGAATCACAGGAGGGCCAACGTGGAGAAGCCACAGAGAGGCCCTGGGACCCGCACTCCCCCTCCTAGGAGATGTGCTTGAAGTGCTCACTGTAAGAAAAAGATGCATAGCTACATGCTGTACTGGGTGCCGCCAGGCTCCTCACCTTCTCCTTTCCTCCTGATTGTGCTAACACCAGGCACTAGCACCACCAGAGGCCAGTGGGGAAGTCTAGCGCCCAGTGAAGAAGTGGTAAAGGTCCAACATATAACCTATGATGCTCAAGAGAAGGGGGGACAGTGGGGACAGAGGTACCAGCAGAAGGGACTGGTCTGTGCTTGGCCAATGCCCTGGGCTGGGCTGCTCCCTGTGCACAGGGTATTTTATTTCTATGCAATGAGCAGGGCTCTAAATGTTCAGAGTGAGCAAAGCTACACAGCATGGGAAGGAAATCCAAGACATGCAGGCCTTTCTAGTCCCACACCAGGCAAGTCCCTGTGCCTGCTGTGCGAGGTGCTGAGGAATACTGGTGGGAGGCACAGAGCAGGCCCAAGTCACCAGGGCCATGCCACACATAGATGCCAGATGACATCAGAACACACAGGCAAAAAGCTCTATCCACTTGGCACAGGCATCTCATGCAGGCCCCCAACCTGAATAAGAACAAGGGCTTGGGTCCGGCCAGCAGCCTTGCCAAGGATACCTGTACCCTCAGGGTCAGATCCAGTGGAACCCTCCTGTGGATGATAGATGCACCCCAGCCAGGGATGCAAGCACAAGTGGAAGTGGCATCTCACTGGCAACATGGCCAGGCAGAGGATGCCTTGGAGGGGAGGGTGCCCAGGGGCATGGCACCCTCCGTCTCACCCTCCGCTCAGAGCCAGATCTCCTCACTGCTCACACTGGACACTCGGTAGATGTAGCCCAGCATTGGGAGACGGATGAAGCCTGCCGGGTCGGAGATGCCCAGGAGTCTCAGTGACCCTCATCCTTGGAAGTCAGGAAGCCCCTCCCTGCCCCTAGGGACTCAGAGGCAGAAGTAAAGGGCTGAGGAGCAGGGGAGGAGGGTACCTCGGCTGGTGAGGAGGCCGCCGGGCTCTGAATCCAGGAGCTCTGGCTCTGGCCGGCTGTTATTCCAAGCCGTCTGTCGGTCTGCTGGTTTCCCTGTTGGGTGACAAAGGGGGTGGTGCCAGGACAAGGAGTGTGCCTGATGGGGCCTTGCCCCTCCGAAGTTCCAAGGTCTCTTTTTCTCTTAGAAGCATCTCTGAAGCTCAATTGATTAGAGCATCGTCCCAATACACCAAGGTTGCTGGTTCCATCCCCGGTCAGGGCACATACAAGAATCATCCAATGAATGCATAAATAAGCAACAAATCTATGTTTCTCTCTCTTGCTCCCTGCCCCCCCTTCCCTTTCCTCTCTCTCAAATCATTTAAAAAAAAAAAAAAGGCAGCACCTCTGAAGATAAAACAGGGGCCACAGAGGGTCCTGGATGTACCTCTGGAGTCTGGAGTGAGGTCGTTGAGCTGAAGGTTGGACGGGAGGGACATGTTCTCCCGGGGCAGGCGCACGTTGTTGAGCTTCAGGTTGTTGGAGTCACTGCAGGTGGACAAAGCCTGGGATGTGCCCTGGCTCCAGCAGGGTGAGTCCTGCTTTGGAGCCAGTTCCAGGACTAGCAATAGCTGCACCTCCATTCAGCCCAGCTCCCCAGCCCAGGGGCAGTTACCTAGAGAGCAGAGATGGGCGCCGGGAGGGGCCTGAGGAGAGAAACCACACCACCACTTCAGTGTGCCCTCCCACACCGGCCTTTGCCCCCTGCCCTTCCAGACCCAGGACTCTCAGGCAAGGAGTCTCTCAAACACCAGCCCTGGCTGTGGGACCAGAAATGCTGTTCCCAGTGCCTGGCCCTGCCTCCTGGATTACCCGTGGCCACACCCCGGAGACACCTGTCCTGCCACTTGTCAGATGACTTGTTCTGCCCGCCCTACTTTCTGCCCTGCTGCTCACCCTGCCCTCCTCTCCACTCCCCCAGCCACCCATCACTTTGGCCTTACCTTTGGTCTTCTTCTCTTTCCTGCAGACCAGGCAGGCCACTAAGGTGCTGAATGCCACCAGGGTGCCCAGCGATAGCCCTCCGGCTACAATGATGCCCAGCAGTGGCACTTCCACCCGAGTGGCCAGGAGTCCTGCAGGTGGTCTTTTGGTTAGGTTCCAGGAAGGCAGGGCCCCCAACTCTGAGATGCCACAGGTCCGACTCTGTCCTCCTTGCCCAAGGTGGCTGGGGACACTCACTCACAAGCCTCATCCCAAGGGCAGCAAGTCCTCCCGTTTCTGTACTGACGCTCCTCGCTCACCTTGGGCTGGGAGCGAGGCACTGGTGACCCCCACATCGTTGGCAGCGACCACAGAGAGGTTGTGTGCCAGGTTGCGAAGCTGCAGCTGCACTGTGTGGTTGGTGAGCCAGGGGTAATTCCGGGCATCCAGCACCAGGAAGTCTGAGGTGTTGACAGTCACCGGCCCATCCTGGTCGATCCAGGTCACATTGGCAGGCGGGTTGGCACGGACCAGGGCAAAAAGAACAACCAGGAGGCCCTGGCCCTGAGCTTCCTGGTACTTGGCCCCGACCTGGGCAATCTCCGGTTTAACTGGGGCAAAGCAGAGGCCAACGTGCTCTCACCGCAGCTCCTCATACTCCTGCCCTTTCCTCCCAAACCCAGAGGGACTTCTAAGGGGACACTAGGAACTAGGATGGCTATGTCCACCTCAGAGGCAGCATTTTGTAGTGATCAAGAGTATAAACACAAGGCCGGTCGGTGTGGCTCAGTGGTTGAGCATCACCCTATGAACCAGGAGGTCACAGGTTCGATTCCAGGTCAAGGCACAAGCCGGTTTGGAGGGCTCAATGTCCCCAGTGGGAGGCAGCTGATCACTGAGTCTCATCACTGTTTCCATCTCTCCCTCTTTCTTCCTCTCTCTCGAAAAAGTCAATAAAAACATATTTTTTAAAAAGAGTATAAACACTAGAGCCAAAATGTATGGATCTGAATACTGGCTGTGTTTCTTACCAGCTAGCGGTGTGATCTCTGCCAGATTGCTTAACTTCTCTGTGCTGTTTTCTAATTTGTAAAGTGGGGATAACAACAGGGATTTGCTCATGGGATTATTGTGAGGATTAAAGTTAGTTAATATTTGCAAAGCGCTTAAATGTGTGTTCAATGTCCTATCAGACCATCTGCTATGTGGCTGCTGGGGGTCCCCGGGCAGAGGACCTCGCCCCCTGCCCACCTCGGGGACACTCACATTGCACATTGAGGATGACCGAGGCGTTGGCGGCCGGGCCACTGCCCGGGTCCTGCAGGGAGCAGTTGAGCTCATGCTGGGACCGCTGCGCAGTGACAGTGAGGGTGCTGGTGCCCCCCGAGAAGGCCTCCCCGCCCACACGCAGCAGCCGTGAGGTGCTGGCCTCCTGCAGCTGTCCATCCAGGTACCAGGCCAATCGGGGGGTGCCAGACACCCCCGCCACTCGGCAGGTGAAGGGGTGGCGTTCATTCTCCCGAAGTGCCCGCTCAGCCCAGGCCTGGCCATCGATTTGCGGCGCCAACTCCCCCCAACCTGGAACACGACAGAACGTTCTGGGTCGGGCTGGCACTGCTCTGTGACCACGATGAGGCCCAGTTACCGAGGGGCAGCAGGCGGAGAGGTCTCCCACAGGGAGTGGCTGCACCGCGGGCACGTGGGTCGGGAAACCCAGCGCTGGAGCCGAGGGCCTGAAGGCGCCCCAAACCGAGGTGCAGGCAAGAAGGGGAGAGAAGGCGCGGCCCGGAAGTGCCTGCAGAGGGGTGTACCTGAGCTCAGGAGGGCTGGCAGGAGCAGCAGTGTGTGCGGGAGGGCGGCTGGGCCTGCGGGCAGCGCCATGGTGGCCGCGGCCGGGCTGCCAAAAGAAGGGGCGGGCCTCGACATTATTCAGGTGGGAGCGGGCAAATGTATTCCTCCAGAACTAGGTCTCCAGAACAAAAATAAACCACGCAAGTAAACCAATGTAGACCGACCCACGGGGCGGAAGGCAAGGAGGCGAGCAGCCACGCGCGGAAGGCCGAACTGACTCGCCGGCGAGCAGGCACAGCTCCGCAGACTCCCAGCCCCGTGCGGCCCGCCCCAGGCGCAGGGCCGCCCCCGCGCCCCTCCCCCAAAGGGGCCGCCGGCTCCAGACCCCGCCTCGCCCGCCCCCCCGCCCCATCCTTCCGGCTGCGGAGGCGAGGGTGGGCTGAGGAGAAGGTGGTCCCGCCCGCGGAGGTCGCGAAGAGCGCCCACCCCGCCTCCCGGCCCTCACCTCGCCGTGGGCCCAGCGCAGCCCAGCGCAGCCGCAGGCAGCGACGGACGCCAGCCGGGCGGTGCCGCGCTGGGCTGGACCAATCA